TCAGTTTGCCGAAGAGGCCCTCATTGCTATAGGGCAGGGGCGAGAAGTAGAGCCCTATAGCAATCCAGCGTGTTTTCATGGCCGCCCTCTCTTTGGTGAGGTCGAGGTCTACCACGCCGTCCCGCCTCGTCCCCAAGTCCACTGGGAACCTAGGGACGATGGTGCCGCCGCCGGCGCCAAGCCTCCTTAGAGAGGCTCTTCCCCCTGGGAGCGGGAGGAGTCACCCCGGAGGAGCACCCGCGCGGTGTTGCTGCCGTCTCCGACACGCCGCACCTCTCCCTCAGACTCCATGGTGGCCTTGTTCTTTTGGTTGTCCTGACCAGCCATTGCCAGAGGTAGCAAGCAAGCAATCAGGGGCGAGGTGTGTGTGCCTGCAACCTCACGATCTGACCCTTTTATGCAATCATGGTCATGAGCAGATCCTTGTTGTGTTGTATTAACCAAGGAGAGTCTTGATTCTTTCCATCCTGGATGATCACCTTCCCTGATCTCTGATCTTGCAATCCTATCGCCCTTGTCTGGGGGATCCTTCGACGTCAGTCTTGCAGTCGCTTTTTGATTTTGTGGCCATTCGGGATCTCCTAGACCAAACCTCAGATTTTCTCTCATCACTTGCATTCTTTCCCTGATCCTCCTAATCTCTTCATCATCTTTGGCCGAGATCTGACTCCCGACCTCTTCTAATCTCCCATACGGTGTATCCTTTTCTCCGCGATCTGCTTGATCCCCTTCCTGGTTTTGAGCCATGCCTCGCGTAAACCGAGCAGATCCCTCTCCTTTTCCGCTGTCGATCCACCATCTCTTGGTGGATTTCTCTCGCTCTGTCCTTGGGATCTCGCCGGCGGCGAGATCGTCCCCCGCTCGCTCAGGAATCGCCACCCAGTCGCCCCGACAGGGGGTCCGTAATTTCCGTAATTTCTGCTAACCATCTCTTGGTGGATTTTGGAGGAATTGTAGGCGCTTCTATACTTTGGCAGCAAACTGAGCAAGTCATCGCCAGAAAATGAACGAAATACCTCTTGTTTGAAACCAAAGGAGACCGGGCCCACACAAGCTCACCGTGCATGGTCCATGGTTGGCCCTAAAATGAGCTTAGAGCATCTACAACCACAAATATCAAAATCCGTCCTTCAAACGTCCGAGGACGTGCTCGGATGCGTCTGCGGATAGTGACCGGACAACGCACCAAAAACATCTGCTCCATCCATGTATCTCAAATTTGAAAACTCAAATCCATGCAGACTAAATTATAAATACTATGTAGGTATCCTATCTACTCATCGTCGAAGATGTCCATGATCTCCTTGTCTGACTTCAAGTAGATGGACAATTATGACAGCTCTGGCGTGTGTGGGGGCTTCGACTCGTTGTCAGACGAGCTAGAGGTGAAGAGCTCATCGCTCTCCGCCCTCTACCATCGAATAAAGCGTCGGTTGGCCTCCATGTAGGCCTCGTCCTGAATGGACTCGAGGATGGCAGAGCAGTCTTCCGCTTGAGCGATCTCATATCTACCATGGCGAAGCCCGCGGTTGGCTCCTCCACTGGCTCCGTCGACTCCTCCTCCACGGGTTGGGGCTCCGCTTTCGGTGACTGCCCTGCCTCTGGTTGTTGCTCCCCCTTCTCATCCCCTCCACCGCCCGCTCCTCCTCCCCTTCCCCTCCTTCCCCGGCTCTGGTGAATCTAGAGGCAAGTTGGCAGCGAAATGAGCAGCGCTCTTGGCCCGGATCTCCTCCAAGAGCTGCAACCGGCGCTCCAGCGTCAACATGGAGTAGGTGCCGATCCGGCGCCTCGGCATGGCTAGATAGTGAAGGACAGCTTTGGAAATGGCGGCGATGGAGCGGAGAAAGGAGAATAAATGGGGCAGATTAGGGTTGGGTCGCTGTTGTCTGGCTTAAATAGCAGGCCTTGCGCCCTCTGGCGGCATGCTGGGGAGACGCCACGCGTCACGGAGCGGAGAAGGCGCTCGCCGGACCAGTGATCTATCCGCGTGACTGCACAGGCCCTTGCTCTCAGTTCGATGTGGCGCCCACATCAAGGCATTTTACGAAAAAGGGTTTCCCCACGCTTTAGATTATAAAGCAACATCCAACCGATACAACCAGCTTACTAGGGCCGCAGCACAAACAAGCCCAAAAGAAAAATGAGCGAAAGAAAAAAGAAACAAATGCCGACGCCTGCAACTCAACTAAGCAAAAAGATGACCGACACCCGCTGCACCCACCGGAGAGGAACCACCGCCCGCCAAGCACTTCGAAGCCTCGCGTACCAAGCAACATCTTCATGAAGAAATGCGGCGACGATGCCGCTGCTGCCCGGACAAGTCCTAGGGTTTCCCCTGGTAAGCAGATGGCAGTGGGGAAGGGGGTATCACCGATGCCCCTGGGGGGGGGGGGTCCGGCAACGCCCACAGACGCAGCCGCGTCGGTGGCGAACGAGCCGCCAGAGATTTCTCCCGCCTCGAAACCACCACCGCCACCTCAGACAATCGGAAGCGCACCGCCCACCAGCCTGTGCTACCATGGATACCGCACCATTTTCACTGTTTCACTGAGGCCACCAACACGAGACCTGGAGGTAGGACGAGAAGACACCGGGCTCGAAGGCAACCGCAACGCAGCTGACTGGAGGGAACAACCTCCACGACCGCGCAGAGCCGACCGAACATGGCGACAGGGACTTGCCAGGCCACCACCGGCCCGGCCGGACCCCAACGGGTCCGGACAGTCCCTCCAGCCACGCTGCAGCACGCCGGCCGCCGGAGCCACCACCACCGCAGCCACGGCCCCCTCGTCTCACCACCAGGGAGCCATGCCGTCATGCCCCAGACCGCAGGCCCGCCTAGCCCAGATGAGGCCCGAAAGGGCCCAGATCTGGGCCGAGCTGGCGCCACCGGCCAGCCGCCCACCGCGCCGCGCCGCCAACGCCCACGCCGCCACGTCGAGGGCACCCGAGGCCCGCAGAACTCCGCCGCCGGGCCTCATCGCCGCCGGGCAGGAGGGAGCCCCGACTCCTCCTCCAGGCGCGCGGGGAAGGGACGTCCGCCGCCGGCGGCGCCACTCGGGCACGCCGGAGGCCGCTGCCGGCGGCGGTGAAGGGAGATGAAGAAGGAAGGGGGTAGAGACGGGGAGGAGGGCAGGGAGGCGCTCCGCCGCCTCAGGGGGGCGACAGGAGAGCCGGGAAAGGGGAGGAGGAGGGGCGGAGGGAGGTGGACCAGGGGACGCGCGCGGCGGCGGCCGACGGCGGCGTGAAGGAACCCTAGCGCAGGTCACGGGAGCCCTTTGTACCGCTCGCACGAGCACCTCTTGCCACCTAGTCCCACATTTGGGCGTTCCATGTCCGCTCCAGATATAGACCAGATACGAAGAGTGCCGGTGTCTAGGCTTTTGGGCTAAGTATGAAGAGCCCGGTTGGATGGCCACATCCGGACACTAGTCGGGCAGTCCGACTAGACGCTTGAGATATGCGTCCAGTTGTAGATGGTCTTATCATGAACCCTCAAGTACGGGCCGCCGGTCACCGGCATGACTGAACGGTCACTGACAGCAAGCGCATCAGCATTAGCTTTCGGATCCAAAAACGGCACGGACCTACCTAGCCCGGAGGCAGCATCAGCACTTGAGCGGACAGATGCGGGCCCTGCCCCCGCCTTGCCTACTGTGACGTTACCGTAGTGCCTAGTCCATACAGTAGCTTTTCGCACAGCACACTCCGAGATCTTTGCTTGCTTTACAGCCCTGCTAGGAGAAGTCGGACTACCGGCTCGAAAAATTTTAAAACCCAAAGCCCAGAGAGCCCGCTGGCGGCACGTGCGGCTTGCGGCCCGTTGGTGGTGGCCGGTGAGGAGGAGGAGGGCAGCGCGCATCAGCGTTTCAAAGTTCAAACCGCGAGGAGGAGCAGCAAAGCCGACGGACGGGGCCCACCCGCTCCCCCCTGACCTCGAGCGCACGCACGCTCCCCCAGGATGCATGCCGTTGCCGTCCCGACGGACGGACGCGATCGGGCGGAGGTTCAAACCCGCCCGTTTCCCTCCACTACACTAGACACTAATCCCGTAATTAGTTATCTTTGCTTGAAGAAATAAATAAAAGGTCCCGAAAAAAAAGGTCGAAGCGCGCTGGAGGCAGCCTTCGCTTTTCTTTCTTCTTTGGATGGACGCGTTGGATATCATGCCACGTACGTACTAGTACCAGGAGTGTGCATCGAGCGCTTCCCTAAATTGCACCGTGACAAAAGGAGCCCCCCACCCCAACCCCACCGCACGCCGATTTCAAATTTCGAAATTTGAATGGGAGAGCCGTGGGGCAATCTGTAACGGCAATAACCACATGCATGGCATTGGCAGCAACGGCCTTGGTTCTCTAACTCACACAGTGCACTAGTACTCCTGGTTTCAAAAGAAGAACCCTGCGGTGACACAACCCTGGGCTGAACTAATCCACGTGACATTTTCTCTTGTGCAATTTTTGTAATACAAAACCAAACTACGTATATACTACTACGATTTCTTTCATAATATAGGTAATGCTTTTTTCTCATGCTAAAGTTAATCTTACTCCACGCCCTCTAATTAACTACCACCACCACAATGGAAGTTTAATCCAGGTTACATTTTCTCCGGTGGCACGCCACGGAATAAACTTAAAAATCCTAGAATTATTATTCGTGAGCACAAGCCCATCTCAGGTGCACTACACAGGGCAGTTTGAATTTTAAGCGATTAGTTAATTGGCAGCCTAAACAGGCAAGTAGCCCCGAGGCAGGAAACTATTTTGAAAGGACAGGGTGTTTTTCCTAATATAGCCACCCCTCCCCCCACCCCTCTTCTTCTCTCCCCGTCGCCCTCCGCAGTCCCAAACCCCAGGGCTCTGTCTGCCGTGCCGGACACCAAACCCTCGCTCGCCTCTCCCCTCCTCCGCACCGCTGCCCTACAAATCCCACCGGAGGCCTCGGTGGTTGTGGTGGCAGCGAGCGAGCTCCCCCGCCGTCACGCCCGCGCCCCGATGTCGAGCAACTCCGCCGCCCCCCGCCGCTTCTCGTCGGCGATGTCGACCGCGACGGCCAAGCGCCCGGCCGTGGCGGAGGGCGCCGGGGGATCCAGGGCGGCGGCGGGCCCCGCGGCCGCCCAGCAGCAGGCCAAGAAGCGCGTGGCGCTCGGCAACCTCACCACCAACGTCGCCGCGGCGGCCGCGGGCAGGGCCGGCTGCGGGAAGATCGCGGTCGTCACGGCGGGCAATGCGGTACGGATCCGCGCCTGAGAGATTGCCTTTTTTGTTTGCTGTTGTGAGATGAAATGGTTGCCGTCTGGGGTTGAGATCGTGGGCCGGTTTAATTCAAATTTTGAATGGCTATTGGTTGGAGAAGGGCACGAGCGCAGGGTGCAGTCGCTCCTGCTGTTGCTTCTGTCCATGGGGTTCTACGGATGGATCAAGTGCATTGCCCTGTTCCTCGGATGGGAAAACTCTCGATGCGGAGATTTGGATGTGGTGTCCATCCTTCGAGGCTACAAGTCAAACGTTTAGTAGTTTTTCTGGTATCAGAGGCGCTGCGATTTATTGCCTCCTGTACCCAATCAGCAGCGTGTTTTGTGCTCTTGAAACTACAGTGTTTCTGGGTTGTCTTTGGCTTGTGATGCTTTCCATTTCATGGATCGCTCATTTTCCACTTTTCCTAAAATTGATTTTGCTTTGTATTGTTTTCCATTTCTGGGACATACTCTGCGATTGCTAATCTTCCATTTTCCCCAAATTTTGATGCCTCTTTTGTGAGTGTTTCTGGCTGCTTTTTTTCACTCAATTTTGCGCCTTTACCAGCACTGCTCTTTCTGTTGCGGATCATATTTCAGCAGTTTGGTTCATTTTCTGGCAAGAATTCTCGCTGAGCGTTTATGGTTAAAATCTTACACTGTGCTAGAACAGTTTAGCACAAAGTTACTTTGGAATTTTATAATATCACTAGTATTATCCACGCTTGTTATCTGTACAATTTGTAATTCAACTTTGCTTACTGATGCATGCGTGAGAGCAAGAGATTTGAAATCGGTTATTTACCCTTTCTGAATTTGTAATGCAGAGGTTGAATTCAACTACCTCAGCTGCACCAGTGAAGAAGGGATCTTTGCCAAGTGCTCGGAATGCAAGCGCAAATCGTGGTTCGTCTGTGAAATCGGCTTCCACCAAGCCAGCTCCTGTCACATCTCGCCATGAGGGCTCCATGCAGAAGGAGAGTGCTCCTCCTCGTAAGGTGCCTACGGCGGTGCCGATTGCCGTGCCTGCCGTTATACCCTTCAGCAGCTTCGTGTCTCCTGGACATTCAGGAGATTCAATTTCCACTGACGAGACTATGTCGAGTTGCGACTCTATGAAGAGCCCCGATTTCGAGTACATTGATAATGGTGACTCCTCATTGCTCGATTCTTTGCAACGACGGGCAAATGAAAACCTGCGCATTTCAGATGATAGAACTGTGGAAGGTTTGTTTTCCTTTCTGAACATTGACAGTTATGTCTAGGGCGTGTGCTCTTATAGTGTATTTTGTTAGACCTTAATGTAGTGCCTTTCTTCTTTCGCAGGAGCTAAGTGGAAGAAGGATGCTGCTGCCCCAATGGAAATTGACAACGTTTGTGACGTTGATGACAACTATGAGGATCCACAGCTGTGTGCTACTCTTGCTTCTGATATCTATATGCACTTGCGAGAGGCTGAGGTGCGCATTCTTTTCTTTGACATCTTCTTTCAGCCTGCTCCTTCAAATGTTAAGATCAGAACAGATTAGTATATCTTCTACATTACATGATGACATGATTATTGGACTTAAAAAACTTCTTCAGTTTGCGCATGTTTCTTAATGTTGCTTGCCCTTTTCAGTTTGTGGTCTAGAGGTCTGTCGGTGTCATCATAGACCTTATTGTCAATTACCAGTAGTAGCAAATTCCAAATGCTTGTTGTTAGTTGCCGAAAACATCAATCATAGATACTACATTAACATTTTCTAAGATCAAGTTCACATAAACGATTAAACCAGCCTCCAAAGAAATTATAAACTAAAGCTATTGTCAGTACATTTCAGAGCACCATACATTAATGTGTTATATTTTTCACATATTGACGTTAGGATGTCAAAAGGTAGTGTTAAAATAATGTTAGGTGGTGTATGATAGAGGAATTCATGCAGGATAGAGTAGCCCTGTTGTAGTAAGACACCCTTTAAGTCGTAATGGAGTAATGTTCTCCTCAATGAACTAAATTAAGTAAAATAAAAATGGATGTGAACTTGATCAACAAAAAGTAGATGTATCCTATATGTCTATATGTTTTGTTGTAATGCTTTATTTATTTCTCAACAGACGAGGAAAAGACCATCAACTGATTTTCTGGAAACAATTCAGAAGGATGTGAACCCAAGCATGAGGGCTATCCTGATTGACTGGCTTGTGGAAGTAAGCTTTTCCAGCTGACAAAGCAAATTTAGTAACAGTTTATAAGACTGGAGGTCACTCTTTTTCATTGTATTAATGCATTACTTCGTGCAGGTTGCTGAAGAATATCGTCTTGTTCCTGATACCTTATACCTGACAGTCAACTATATTGACCGTTACCTTTCGGGCAACGAGATCAATCGCCAAAGGCTGCAATTACTCGGTGTCGCTTGCATGCTTATAGCTGCGTAAGATATTAAGATCCAGCGACTTCATTGTTTATTTATTTTTCATTTACTCTTGATTGGCATTTCATTGTTAGCATACTAATTGTGCTCTTCGATTTTCAGTAAATATGAGGAGATTTGTGCACCCCAGGTAGAAGAATTCTGCTACATCACTGACAATACCTACTTCAAGGATGAGGTTAGTGATATATTGCATCGGATCGTTCAGTGTTTGTCACTTTGTCTCTGCCATTCTCTAATTAATAGATAAACAGGTTTTGGATATGGAAGCTTCCGTCCTCAATTACCTGAAGTTTGAGATGACCGCACCTACAGCAAAGTGCTTTTTAAGGTTTTGCTCTCTTTCATGCATTGGCAAATTTCATGGCTTGTACCAACTGAATCTCACTTTCTCTATTTCTTGCTTACCATAGGAGATTCGTCCGGGCTGCACAAGTCTGTGATGAGGTATAGCTCTCTTGGTCAGTTTCTGCTTGCTTTCTGCAATTCTATGGGTCGCATATTTTGTAGCATTTTACTGATTACTTTTCTTTCTACAGGATCCACCTTTGCATCTTGAGTTCCTAGCCAATTATGTTGCTGAGCTATCACTGCTTGAGTACAGTCTACTTGCTTACCCTCCTTCACTTGTTGCGGCCTCCGCAATTTTCTTGTCGAAGTTCATACTGCAGCCAGCAAAACACCCCTGGGTAACTGCAGCTTTCACAAATCTTTGCAGTATCAAGATGTTGCTTGTTTGAGCTAACATGTACTACTTCCCATTGTGAACTGGAAGCAGAACTCCACCCTTGCCCACTACACACAGTACAAGCCGTCGGAGCTATGCGATTGCGTGAAGGCGCTGCACCGCCTTTTCAGCGTTGGTCCTGGGAGTAATCTTCCTGCAATCAGAGAAAAGTACAGCCAACATAAGGTAACCGAATAGTCTTGATATTATGCCACCAAATTTCTTCAGTTATTAGGCAAGCTTATGCTGATGCTGACCTCCTCTACACCATTCTTTCCTCAGTACAAATTTGTCGGGAAGAAGCAATGCCCAACTTCAGTGCCCGCAGAATTCTTCCGGGACGCGGCATGCTAGGGGATAAAAATGCCCAGGAGTAGTTGCAGTTGCTTACTGAATTCTTCATCTTGTGGCGGGCTCAAATTGGAGCTGCGCCACTGATCCTCGCGGGCAGTATAGCTCCATCCCAAGACATGCCGGTGCCTCGCGCTTGTTTCGGGTGATCGGCAGTGTAGATTCTAGATTGATGCTGATGTCGTTGTGGTAGTGGTATTGTAGTGGTGTGCCTTTTGTTTCCTTGCCTTTTGTTTCCTTGACTTGTCCTTCCTCTGCTCTCTGCTGTTTTCTTTCTTTCTTTCTGTACCTATAGTCTTGAGCCCGGGTTTTTCAGGTGCATGTACATTGGAGAGCGCTGCAGCAGAAGCATAAAACATCTTGTTTGTAATGGCATAATACTTCACTTGGCTGGCATGCTGGGAGGCCCCTCCCTCCCATATATGAGAATGTGGTGTCGTTGTTAGTCTGATATCTTAATAAGAGCACCACATTTTGACAGTGCTAATTCTGAATAAGCTCCTGCATGATGCTGTATTGAAGAAATGACAAAACATTTCATACGGTGCTGATATTGCTCTGTGTTCCAAAACATTTGAGTCTTCAGAGTTGTTTTCAAGATTTCTACTTGAAGCCAGAGGTGATGGACAGCAGAATAGCAGATGGTGGCTGGAGCTTTTGTGTTAGATGTGGTCCTTGACTCACAGAAAATTTAATTTATTTCCGAATATGTCATGGAGATGTTTCTCATCCCCAATGTGCAATAGAAAATTTGTAGGGCTTCCAGAGTACTGTCAACGTGCCGCTTGTTGACCATTAAGTTGCTTGTGAAACGGTCATCTTCGTCTAGTGGCTGAAGACTATAAGGGACATTCAGCATTTGGCATTTACTATGGTAGCATTCCGTTTGTATTCAGGCAATATTTAACATTATTTAGATGTATAACAAGTCTGCAACATACGATATATATCAAAAACTTCGCAGCTTTGCGCAGAGCGTAGTTTAAAAAACCAGACCGAAGAAAATCAGAACTGGCGCCCTTACCGGCATATGATAGAGGCCAGCAATTGGAACTAGCCCTGTGCGTTCGGTTTATTCGGTTTACATGATTCGGTTTATACGGTTTTTCGGTATGTACGGTATTAATACTTCGGTAAATACGGTATGAAATTAAAATACGGTTCGGTTTCGGTATATACCAAATTATTTCGGTATGGTTTCGGTATATACCATAAAAACCAAAGTTGACGCGAATTTGAAAATGACGTAATAATAATTTGCAAATTTATGACTCAAAACACATTCTATTTTACACAAATAGTATATGACTATATATATAAGTATATATGCATGCATTGATTCATCTGTTGATGGTTATGGACGTGCTTAGCATTTTAAAAAGAGAAAAATGACAATGTTACAAGAAAAATGTAGGTGCTTAGTAGTGAATTTGACTCATGTACAAGAAAAATGACAACTTGTACGGTTGTTCATCTCAAGAAATACAAATTTATCTTTTACTTCGGTTTATTCGGTTAACCATTCGTTTTTTCGGTATATACCATAAAAACCAAAGTTCAAATCGGTATGAAAAGTTCATAACATACCGAAACCAGAAACCATAAAAACAAAAAAATCGGTTCGGTTTGGTTTATTTTCGGTATGGTTTTTCGGTTCGGTTTTAAAATGCACAGAGTGAATTGGAACCCCTGGGAGTATCCTACTGTTGCGGGACAATGCCTCGGTCATGGTTTTGAACTAATCACTTATGCTTATGACGGGCCTACCACCTCGGGTAGGAAGAATGACTTCTTCAATGAGCTCACAACACAAAAGCCAATCAATGATGTAAAATGGTTGGCTCTAGGCGACTTCAACTAAATCTACCTGGCTAGAGACAAGAACAAAAGAAACATAAATTGTAGCAGCCTCAATCATTTCCTTCCCGCCCTTGACACATGCGAGCTTAAAGAGATACACCTTCAAAACCATCGCTTCACCTGGAGCAACGGGAGACTGAATCCTACCCTCTGTAAACTCGACTCTTTTCTACAATGCCGAGTGGGATATGAAGTTCAACTTCCATGTGCTCCATGCCATCTCCTCTTTGTTATTAGATCATTGTCTGGTCCTTCTGGCGGATAATAGGGGGCCAAAAGACCGAGGCGTTTCAAAGTTGAGAGTTTTTGGACAAGTATTTCGGTATTCACTGAGATTGTGCAAAAGGCCTGGGATGAGGAGAACGTTCATGAAGAGCTGTGCCAAAGGTTAATTCACAAGCTCAAGGAAATGGGCAGCTACTCGTGAAATGGAGTAGAAAGGTTTTCTCCAAGGCTAAGGTGCACCTCCATGTGGCTCTCCTTGTCATTCTTCGGCTCGACATCGCGCAGGAAACTGATCCTCTATCGACGGAGGATCACGACCTCCGGAAGGGCTCAAGCACCAAGTAGTTAGTCTGGTTGTGGTGGAAAGGGCAAGAAAAAAGCAATATGCTCGCATAGCCAACATCATAGAGGGCAACGCCAACACGAAGTTTTTCCACCTAAGGCTCAACGCAAGACGAAGGGAAAAAAATCACATCCACCGCTTAAAGCGAGGAAGTGGATCGGGCCGATGGTTCACCGGCTGCAACATCAAAGAGAAATTCCTTCACGGGCATTTTGCGGGAACTGTTGGAAGAGCGCCATCTAGCGCTACAAAAAAAAACACTTCCGTGATGGTACGTGTTTGTCACAGTAGGTCACTTTTTTTGTCATGCATGTACATCCATGACAAATTTATGACAGAATCAAGATAGTCATATCTGTGCTGTCGTAGAAGTGTTCCATGAAATTACCAAAATTATCATCACGGAAGTGTCCACTTCCATGACGATAAATCGCGCGTCACAGAAGTGCTTTCGTCAAGGGTGACCGACACGTGGCATCCACCGTAACGGAACGCCGTTAAGCTATCGGGTCAGGTTTTGGATCCGATAACCCGTTAACAGCCCCGACCAATGGGGATTTTCCACGTGTAAAATCATCATTGGCTGGAGGAAACACGTGTCGGCTCATCGTTGGGACATATGTCAACCACTCATTAGACGGAAGGCGCCTATGATACGTCGACACGTGGCACGGCCCAACAGAGGCCCATTCCTATGAAAAGGCCGGCCCGTTTGACTTGGTCAAAAGGTGGCGGGCCGGCCCATGGAAAGCCTGTTAATGGCCTGTTCGCATATAGCCCATTTATAGCCCGCTAACCCAAGACCCGTTACGCCCTATCCGAATTAGGCCCAGTAGCGTCATCTGGGCCATCCAATATGATTCCAGCCCGTTTTCACTTCTGGCCCATGTATGGCCCATGACGTCTTTCGGCCCATATGAGGCCCTATGTAACTCTTGGCCTATTAACGGACCGTGGTGAAACTGGCCCGTAATGAATAGTGTATCACTTTACACCCATTAACGGCCCGTGGTGAAACTGGCCTGTAATGAACAGTGTATCACTTTATACCCATTAACAGCTCGTTATTTCGTTGGGCCGTTTCCAGCCCATGTTATCTTTCGGCTTTCTCAGAGCCCATTTATTCTTGGGCTCATTTCCAGCATTCGTTTACTTACGGCCCGTTACTGTCATTTTCTGCTTGTGGGCCAAATTCAGCCGGTGGTTACAGTCGGCCCGTTTGTGGTCCATTAATATGTTGGTCCGTTTTCACAGCTTCATCAAATACGACCTATTAACGATGGCCCATTACGGTCGGCCCATGAACGGACGATTCCAACTCTAGCCCATTTACGGCCATAATGCGGCCTGTTATTGGCCCATGTTTGGCCAATCGATCATACGGCCCGTATAAGGCCCATTGATGATACGGCCCATAGAAGGCCCATTGTTTGTATGGCCCGTAGAAGGCCTACTATTTCTACAGCCCGTAGAAGGCCCACTGTTTCTACGGCCCGTAGGAGGCCCAGTGTCACTACAGTAAATATTAGCCCATGGTTATTATGGCCTAGTTTTAAAAAATAGGTTATTGCAGCCACTAGTTAACCGCGGAAAAAGAACTGCAATGACTACAAGCAAACAAATAAACAAGACAACAAGGAAATAAGTAAGCAAGCAACTAACGCTAGGCTATCACGGCTATTACACATATTACATCCACTGGGCATCAAAGTTCGCCACCAGTGCAAATATAGGGAACAAAGCAGCATATCATATACACTGGCCGTCAAAATTGGCCACCAGTGCAAATAAACGCGGCAGCAAAACAAGAGCATAACTGAAACAACTTCAAAAGAGCTCAAGAAACGTTATCCTGGGTATCCACCATGCTGGCAATAAGCTTAGCAAACTGATTAGCTTTGTCCTGTTTGGCGCTAAAATCCTCCAACGCTTGCTGTTGCACCAGAAAGTATGCATCTGAATGCTCCAGGGACTTCCGCAGTCCTTCCGCTTCTTGTTGCAGCACAGCTGATCGATGTCTTTCAACTTGTAGTTGAGACTCAAGAAACCGAACTGATTCAAACAGTGAATTTGAATAGCTTGTGCAAGTGGTAGTGGCCAGTAACTCCAACACTAAACCAAGACAGGATGTGTCACTATTCTGAACCTTATCTGCATTACTTCCTTTACCGTTGCTTAATAAGGCACTCTTCCCCAATATTCTGCCAGCATTCTAAAAGAAGAAACAAGCACACACATAACAAGTTTAGCATGTACTAGTATATGAAACTCATTTCGGTGAACCAGTTCATTAGTAAGGTGGACATGATTAAACTACCAAGTCTTCTATTGCCAAGTACCAGTACATAATAAAAGCATCAAACAAACATATATCTATGTCCTATGGTAGCAATGGAATCTTAAATTAGAACAGTTGTTCTTTAGGTTTAGGCACTTGTTCTACATGAACAGAGTACAGTAAGACGCAAGAATATAATACTTAAAAATAGAAAATGAGCTCATAGACCTTACCACATTCTTGGTTCGGGACCAGTACAGAACAAGGCTTTCCCAGTCATCGTCCAGTAAATGTGTC